TGGTATCGTATGGTATGGTATGGTATGGTATGGTATGGTATGGTATGGTATGGTATGGTATGGTATGGTATGGTATGGTATGGTATGGTATGGTATGGCATAAAGCATTTTGCCATCTTCATAACTAGATTAGAGAACGATATTAAGGAAACAATGTGTCCTGCACGCTGATATGACCTCAAGCAGTAGCGAGCGCCGTAAAAAAATTACCAAAACATATTATACTATACTACCGTATTAAGGTATAACATGTATTTTGCTTAAAGAATTATATTTAGAAGCTCCCATGCCATGGGCCAAATACCTCGTGATTGTGGATTTGTTGGTGATGATGAGGCCCCTGAAAATGAGTTTTGTCATGGTTGCCCAAAATGTTACAGGCAAGCAAGGGCATACGAATTGAATATGGTTTTGTCCAGGAAATATTAAATGACCATACATCAATTTTTATTGAATAATATGCAGACTGACGGGTGGCAAGTTTGCGAATTTTTTTTTTTTTTTTTGCTTTCATGTTGTTGTTTTTATTATATATATTTTTGTTGATTTGTTTTGTTTTGTTTTGTTATGTTTTGTTTGTTTTTTTGTGTTGTTGATGTTATTGTTGTTTGTTTGTTGTTGTTGTTTTTTGTGCTGTGCTTAAAGAAAGTTGTAGGCTGCTTCCATAAGAACTTTCAGAGATCATAAAAAATATTGTTTTGTTGTTGTTTTTTTAAACATTTTATCTCGTAACGTTTGAAACATTATGATTGTTTCATTACCATTTTTTCTTGAAGAGATGTGTTGACATTTGTACGAACAAACAATGTGATAAAGAGGACACGTACGATGCTTTCCAACTCTATTTTATGTTCTTTTGTTATTTTTCATATTTTGACTGGTGCATGCACGTGTACATGGATTATGTTTTCTGTAACATTTAAAAAACATAGAACACTTGCCTAACGTTATTTCAGTTTACAAAGGAACCAAACAAGCTCTGGTTTCAGCTCTTTGTAACAAAACTATACACATCAAAGATGTACTGAGTACATTTTCAAGCTCGCTACATCAGAATAACAAAGTTCTATCTGACACTGTTGGCCGTTTTGAGTTATTGAGACCATGAGGTCAGAAACCAAATGTTCTATCTCCTCTACCAAGATCGTAAGATTATTCGGAGACGTAATCAAGATATTTAAAGAATTGCGATTTTAAAAAAGCTTGACATGTGAAAAAATTCAAACTCCAGATTTCTCAAAACTAAATCTAGATGTGGATCTTCTGAGCGAATAGAACTTCGTAATTCTCTAAATAAATTTGATGTCAGTCCTACCAACAATTTAAGGCTTCAAGAGAATTTTCCACACACACACACACACACACACAGGTGGTGTGTCTTGGTCTTGTCTTGATGTGCTTTAAGGCCTGTCATCTGTGACCTACGCTATAGCCTACCCCGAACAAAGACAGAGTGGTGAACAACAAGAAAATCATGCTCTTTTCCAAAGCCTTAAAAGAAAACCGAATTCCTGCAAATTAACAGAATCCCTGCCAATTGAGGGAAAGATCGATAGGCTATTATATTCATTAAGACAATGCTTCAAGACAGAACCACCTTTAATATCTTCAAAGTAAGTAGATCTAGTCGGCGACAGCTTGATTTACACCCAGCTAAGAAAGAATAATGTCGTGGTATTCTCAGTCTTAGCCTACGGTTATCAACATAAATTGACTAATGGGGGCAAAAGAGAGGTCCGTTTACCCCAGAAAACCGCCGCAGGCATAAACGGGTTGGGGGCTCGAAACTTGATATCGTTACAAGCTCATAATTGCTTTAGAAATAGACGAGAATCAGAATAAATAGCCGGTAAGACGCGAGTTTGTTCCATCTGGAGGGGAGGACCTGGCTCTGACACTCGGACGCTAGAGTCGACGCGGATTAAAATTAAATAGCGCTCGCTTTGACAAACCTGTTATTTTACTTTTTTTTTTGGTAACATTAATTTTGTGTGTCTAATTTTTGAGACCACAGATCACGTTATTATTACAGATGTTACATGTACTTTGCTCTTTTTGTTCCCGTTGTCTGGCCGTTAACGACGGCTCGGTTCGACAACAAGCTTAATTCTATTCGCAGAGAAAAAACTCAAAAGCAATAGCAATAAGGAAAAAATAATATAAAACAAACAGAGATACAGCCAGAGTGGCCACTATAAAATGTTTGGCCGTTTGTTTCAACAACTGACTTTTCTTTGTGGCAGGTATTTCATACTGAACAATTAATGTTTGATCTGAAATCTTTAACCAACTATTGCATTTTTCTACGTATATCGACTAAGCTTTCCATACGGGGTTTTTCTTACGATTAACATGAATAACAGCAGCAACACTACTAGTCTTCTTCAAGAAGCTCAAGCCAGTGGGTTGTTAAACGAGCGGGTGTGCTCAATACTCCTCTTTCTCAACTGGTCTGTTCTTTGCGCCATCATCGCCGTCTTTGGCATTGTTGCAAACATCATCAACATCATCGTCTTCATCAAGATGGGCGTCCGAGGCACGGCGGTGAACCTCTCCTTATTGTGCTTATCCGTGGCTGACCTTGGCAGCCTTCTCCTATTGGCCTGGATTTCTTTGGCGTCCAACCCTTTATTCACGTCACTGGATCTGCCATTTATTCCCCTCAACGTGGCGTATGTCACTGGCGGCTGGCCTCGCTTGTGTTTTGTCAGGTAGGCCTATGTGAGAATAGGCTGCATGTGTGACTTCTGCTTTTTCTGTATTTCTAGCACTTTATATGCGTTCACAACGTGATCATATGGTATGGTACGGTACGGTATGGTATGGTATG